CTATGCTCCTAGCCCTTGGTCTGCTCAAGCAGGACCCAAGGATGGATGGAAACAAGATCCTTTTTCTTGGAGGCAGGGTCTTGTTCTGTCATCTGGGCTGAGTGCAGTGGCATTGTCCTAGGTCCTGCAACCTCAAACTCCTAGGGTCAAGCAATCCTCCCATCTCAGCCGCCCAAGTAGCTGGGACTACAGGCACGCACCACCACACCCAGCTAATTTTTCTGTTTTTTTGTAGAGACAGGGTCTCACTGTTGCTCAGGCTGATCTTGAACTCCTGAGCTCAAGTGATCCTCCCCCTCAGCCTCTCAGAGTGCTAGGATTACAGGTGTGAGCCACCACGCCTGGTCCCCAAGTAATTTAATACTTAAAAAAAAGAGTCTAGCATTATATTGTCTAAAATAATTACGTATTTGCTAGAAAGGTATAGAAATTTTATACTCTGTATTATTTTTGCAAGTACAGATTTAACAGTCACATTTAGCTAATTTAATTGATTGCTATCAAAATAGGGAAAAATCACTCAACCCTTTGAGGTCTATCATAGGAAGAGATTGAATATCCAATGGACAATATAAAGCCTTTGGGTGCTTAGGGGTGCGAGTCCACGAAAAGACCCAGCGTGAGGCTGGGTGCTGAAATAGAATTTGTTTCTTTCCAAAATTGCTGAAACCAAATCCAGGGTATTTTACTTGGGAAAAGAAAGTCAACTGCATGAATACAAAATGATACAGAATTAACTTCACTTACGTGATAACAAGAATTGAGATCGTAGTCATCAGCAGATCAGTGTTAGCAAAGTTGGGAAGCAGGAAAACTTTCCCTTCCATTTTACCTATTCTTGTTTTCAGAACTCCTTCCAGGCATACTGGGACTGCTTCTGGAGATCCCAAAAGCTTCGATGCGGGAGGATTTGGCCCTTGCCAAATCCCCCACACTTTTCCTTCTCATCAGACACTGCACTTCTGTCTTGGGGTCAGTTTTCAAGTCAATTCATCAGATAGACAAACCCATGCAGATAGTTGTTATTAAATGTCAGCCATCATGTGTGTGCTGCTAACGCTGAACGTTTTAGGGACTAGGGCAAGGAGGGTAGAAGCTACCTAGGAGGCTTCTTGCAGGGCTAGATGGGTCCTGAGTGGGGGACTGAGCAGCCTGACCTGAGCAGGGACAAGTGGGCCATGGACAGGACCAGTGGCCACAGGCCACGAGTGTGGCAGTGGAGGAGACCACCGCACAGATCACCTGGGAGACAGTCCCTGTCCGTCGGGACCCCACTTGGGCCCAGACTCTGACCTCAGACAAGTCACAGGCTGACTCCAGTCTTCTTTTCCTCCAAATCATTTATGTCAGAACCTGTTTGGATATGGCTCGGAGGAGCCCTTTAGCAGGGGTTGCCCCCAATCCCTGCACTTCCCCAAAACAAGAGCACATGTGACCCCATGCAAAGCCAGCGCCTTGCTCATGCACGTGTTGATTAATGTCACCAACACTGCTGAGGAGGAGCACGTTCAGAAATCATCTGTCCCTAACCAGTTTCAGCATCCGTATTCTTTGTGACTCAGCTGTGTTCTCTGAGTAACCCTATGATCCACGTATATGATGCCAGATTTTCCCTGTTATTCTAAATGTGCTATCTCTGATGTTGCATGGATCGCGCTCTATTTTTTTTTCATTTTATCACATATATTCTTGTAAATCCACTCACAAAATGAGCCAGTGTGCAAACAGACCAATAAATGAAGGGCTCACATTTGTACGAATATCACAAGCTATTACCTGGCCATGTTAAAAAACCCCTTTCAAGAAACATACCAATATTATGTCAGATTGTTTGCTGTCCAGGGCCTCTACGTGATCTTTTTCTGGACCTACTCTTTGCAACATTATGTCAAAATAAGAGACCATCTAGATGTCCACATGGCGTACACACATTCCCCTGGCGTCCCCTCTATGTAGTGCTTATTTTCTACACTTTATGCCTTAGGAAACCTCTACTAGAGTCCTCTGACAAACGTTAGTGCTTTGAATGCCACAAATGCATTGGGGCTTTGAATTTTTCAATATTTCTAAATGAGGTTGAAAGACTGTTTACCCCAAGGGACAGGGGCATCAATTCTGTGGAAAACTGGGGCACAACAGCATTAGGGGACCTGGTCCCAGAATCCCTGGAGCAGGAAAGCAGGTAAATCAGAGCCCAGTTTGTGCCCAGTGTTGGCCACGCTGTCCCTGTCACTGCGGTTGGGAGGCAGCTGAAGCCAGGTGGGCGAGGAGCAGAGCGGCTGTGATCTCTCTAAGGTGGCCAGATGGCAGGGAGCAGCCTGCTGGGCATGGTAATGGCCAACCTAGGCATGGGCACTTTTGCTGGAATTTGCTCTCCGTTATCAGGGCGCCAGGTGACATGGGTCATCTTCCGCTTCCAGCCAAGTTCCAGGACAACAGGAGAAATCTACCACCTGGCCGAGACACCTCGGTGAACAGCTCTCACATGGGCTGAGCTGCAAGTTCATCCTCAGAAAACAAAACTCTTTCTCGTTTGGTCCTGAAGGGCTCGGCTGTCCAGTGCTGTGCTGGGGGCGGGGGTCCTGCACGCCTCTGAGGGCTGAACTTGAAGTTCATCTAGCTGCTGAACCTTCAGTCTGACCCTGAGGGGTCTCCCTGTGGTTGTGCAGTTCACGGCTCCATCCCCATCCTCTCCCCGACAGTCTGTGTCCTTGTGTGCTGCTCATTCAAGGAATGTTTGCAGGAATAGATTTAGCAGGGGTTGAACAAAATGATTTACAAAAAAAAAAAAAATAACCAATTTTATATGTTAATAAAAAATGATAGCCTAGAAAAGAGAGGTCAGGTGTGCAAGTCACGGTATCATAACAGAAGCATTCTACAGAGGCCGGCTCGCTGCTCCGGCCTGGGAACAGGGCTCGGCGGTTTGAACCAGGTCAGGTCTCCTGTGTAGCTAAATTGCCCTTCGAGATTAAAAACCTACACTCCTTTTTACCACTCCTCAAAAGCCACGCTCCTTCTCAGTGACTGGCAGGTGCTATAATTAGCACCAGACTCATAGAGCGGGAAGAGGATCTTTCAGCTACTTAGGACAACCCCTTCTTTTAGGGAACTAAGGCGCAGCGTGTCAGGTGTTTACAATGAGATTTCCCCCCACAGATGTATTAACATTTATTAGCATTCACGTACGTTTTTTTGGGCCCCCCACCCTCCCCACCGTGCCATTACTTTGAGAAACCCTAGTCATATGCAGGTCATGGCAGAGTATAAGGATGGCCCATAAAAGGAATTCTGAATTTCATCTGACCTGAACTCCAAGTTGTAGGCAACAAACCTTGGAGAATGAGATTGGAAACCTGGGCTTAGGATAACGGTCTCGATTCTTAGGAGCACAAAGAGTCTTCCAAGGAGGGCCAGAGTGAGTCCCTGAGGCCCCAGCAGGGCACACGTCTTGCGTGCACACACCCGAGCTTCTTCACGCGTGTGCGCTGCTGGGGGAGTGGCCCCGTTCTGAACCCAGGGAGGTGCCCAGGCACGGGGGAGAGAATGGGCAGAGCCGTCTGTAGGGAAAGCGAGGAAGGGTGGATGCACAGATTGCACGGGATGAAGTGGGAAGGGGCACGGGATGCCCTGTCTGCAGGGCAGCTCGTGTTGGTGCTCGGAGCCCTGCTCCGGGTCATGTCAGCTGCCACCTAAGGGTGTCTGGCGGTGGCCCTGGCAGCACCAGGAACTTTTTGGTGCATTGTGAGTCCAGGAAAAGAGTCTCAGGAGACAGCTATAGACTCAGGAAAGAGGCTAAGGTGCTAAAACATATGGGGAACATTTGCATCCCTCTCTCAGTCCCCTTCCCGCCTCTACACATCTCCCCCCGCCCTAGACGCTTGCGTTTTGTGACTTCTCCTCCCCACCTATCTGCCATGGGCGCTCACTATAATCTAGTTTCCCTTTCTGCACTTTAGGGCTGGGTGGAAGGCCGGAACGAGGTGATTCCTGGGTCCTTGGGAGTAGAATTCCATGGCAGTCTCCTCCTGCCCAGCCTGCGGGAGGAGAGGGGCAGGGGAAGGCCAGTGACAGGAAGGCCCTAGGACAGGCCAGTGGGTTTTCAGCAGCCCGGTGTATGTGTGTGTGTGGGGGGGGGCAGGTAACAAAGCAGGACCACCTTTCTACCCTGCACCTCCGTCTCCTCCCCAGACCACTCGCACCCAATCCTGACGGTCATTACACAGCAGTGAGACCCTTGAGGGTCTCCAGAAAGGTTAAGTGAGATAAAGACCCCTCTCGGTTGGGTGCGGAATTGCGTGCAGGCCGAAGGCCGACCGAGTCTGGGCTTCTCAAACTTTAACACCCATGGGGGCAGCACTTGGGAAGCGAAAGGCCCAGATGCAAGTCGGCGGCAGCCGGGGCAGGCGCGGACTTTGCATCTTCAGCCGCACACACTACCGGCTGGAGACCCGCGCTAATTTAGGCCACAGAGAGCTCTACGACTTCTGTGGGCACCGGCGGCCCGAGGCTGGGTACTCTCAGCTGGGGACTTGCCGAGGGATAACCACCCCTCAACCCCCCACAGGGGCTCCAGGACGAGAAAGGAAATCCCAGTTTGGAGCTGAAGCCAAATGAACCCCAGGAAGCTGTGACAACTTCACGGGCGCCCACAGCGCCCTGGGGAGGCTTGGAAGCAGGCTCAGGAGTGGGGCTGGCCGAGGCCAACTCTGAGGTGAGTGTTTACCTGGGGACCCCCTGGCTCATTCATCTTTCCTCTACTGCGTCACCTCCCCAGTTTGCTAATATTCTTCCCTTTCTTCCCTTCTATCTGTGAAAACCTCTTCCCCTATAAACAGTTCTAAAAGTTCATTTATATTGGGGTGCACGCGACCGAGAGGCCCCACACGTTCCAGGCGCACCGGTAGTCTGCGAAAGGCAGGCCAAGGACGAGGCCGCACGTGCGCGCGCAGGTCTGGGCGCCGGGGAGGCCGCGCATGCGCAGCCCCGCCCTGGACTGGAGGAGGTGGCCCTCAGCCCGCGCGGAGGCCGCAGGGCTGACACTCGAGAGGCGGGGCTGTGTCGTGTGGGGTGACGGAAGAAACACGGGACTGGCAGGCGGAATACCTCCCGCTCAAGGTTTCCGTTCTCAACTGTAAAGTGAGCAGTTTGGCCCCAGCTGAGGACATTTAAGAACTCTCGGGTTCTTGAAGTCAATAATTTTCCTCATCGTGCAGGAGTCCACCATCCGGAACCAGAAGAGCCCTGGATGCTAGACCAGGCGGCGTCTAGACAGTGATCCACGTCAGAATGCTCCCTGGAGGAACCGGAGTCTTCCAACGTAATGTCAACGGGATACTCATACCCAGCGGTCTCTTTTCAAAGGACGGGGCCCGAGCAAAAGGAGGTAAACGCCAGGAGAGGGGTGATCTCTGTGGCTCTGAGCCCCGACCCCAGGCCAAGCCCAGCCCTGCAAGGGTTGGTATCAGTGATGTAAAGCTTGAAACTCATCCTTTCCCAGGGAACAGAATGGGGGTGCAGTTCCTGAGAAACCAGACTGAACAGAAATTAGGCTTCACCAGCTGCTCCTGTAATTACATTTAAATTCAGTTAAACTAATTTCTTACACTTGATAAAAGCAGTTGTCTTTCTAAATTACTCTCAGACTCTTCTCTTCCAAACACAACATGACGACGTTAAGGCCAGGTGAGAAAGGGTCTTTCTCTCTGGGTTTGTCTCTCACCTTGCTCTTCTTAGCACTTTCCTGGGATGCAGTTTGTTGTTGAGAGCTCCGAAAGCTCAACTGCCCTATTAGCATAAGATCCTGTGACTCATTGACTCACAGATTGTAAATCAGACTAACATTGGATTTTAATTAATTATATTAATTTTAGGGGAAACAACAAAACTGAAAAGTCTGCAGTGCTTCATTTACTGAGAAACTCTGAAATGTCTTTTATTTTTAGCAAGAGCCATAAAAACATCTCATACTGAAATAATGTAAAAATCAAGGAAGGGTTGTATTACTCAGCGTGATCGCGCCCTTTAAAAGGCTTTGACATTTTCTTTATTTTTGTAAGTTTTTTTAGAAATTAAAAAAAAATATGAGATATTACATCCACATCCACACATGCATACGCTACACCAGACCCTTTCTGTAACACTATTCACTACTGCCTGTAATTCAGTATAAGGTGTTTATGTTTTAGGTCCTCTCAAAGGGAGATTAATTACTGAATTATCATAAAGAACTTGCAATTAGTCATCTGCATTTAACAGAGTGCCTCAAGGTAAGAAACTCTCAAATACCTGTATGTACACACAATGCATTTCTTACTTATTATTCATGTGCATTATTCATTCACTCAAACTAACATGTGTTAGCACCTACTATGTGCATGGCACTTGCGCAGGTGCTGAGAGCATGCAGGTGAACTGAGCTTTAGGAGACCACTTATTGGCAGGAAAGTAAAGAGGTTCTGACATGGGTAATAAGAGTTGAGGACAGAGAGCCATGGCACCGAGAGGGAGCAGGTAGGAGAAATGGGGAAGGATTCCCAGAGGTGCTGACATGAAGGAAAGCCAATAGTGAAGGTGTGGAGTTTTTAGGTCAGGGAATAACTATCACCAGCCTTCCAGTGTTAGACACTGCTAGACACACTGGGGCATCCAGTGGTAAACAAGCTAGCCACAGTTGCACCCTTTTGGAGTTTGCAATCTAGTAGGGAGATGCTTATTAATCAAATAATAACACAGGAATTAAATTGCTATTGTGGTAAGAGCTTTTAAGAAAAAGTACAGCTGGTTCAATAGTATACTTTCTGGGGAGCTGAGCAGTCTGGTGGACGTAAGAATAGGCATCCCTGGGAAAGTGATGTTTGAACAGAGACCTGTTGGACAAGTAGGAGTGGCCAGCCAGGAGAATGGAGGGCAGAAAGAACATTCCAGGTAGAAGAAACAGATAATGCAAAGCACTAATAGAAGAGGAAGCTTGGAGTTTTCTAGAAACCAAAAAGAAGCCAGACAGGACTTGGCAAAGCAGGTAAGAGTGTCTCAGAAACAGGGCTGGACAGGTGGACAGGAGCCAGGTCATATAAGATTTAGGCTTTAAAGTGAGAGCAATAGTAATGTAATACATGTGCACACACAAACACACACACACACACACACACACACACACACACACACCAGGGAATTTCTTTGGGGAGGAAAGTGCGCCATGCTGTGCCGGAAGCAGAAGAAAATTATTTGCTCTCCCTCCTTCTATACCCAGCTTCGGTGCTTCCACTTGGCTGGTCTACATAGTCTGCACCTTCACCTTGGTCTTCAAGAGTGTGTTCTGTCTTGCTGGTTCTGATTTTGACTCCTAACCTAGGTTTTCAACTTGTCCCCTGCCTCTGTGACAACTTGTGATTTCTGTTATAATTAGCCATCTGGGTGCTGGAATAGCTCATTCAATCAACTATCTATTTAACAAATGCTGACTGACACCACTTTTGTGCAGAGATTCATTTCACACTGAGCTTACAATGCAAAGGTGTAAGGTACATGCATAAAAATTATAATAGTGAACATTATGCTAGAGGCCCTAGATAGTGCACGAAGGCAGGGAAAAGAAAAAAAAAGATAAGATTGTGTCCATAAGAAATCCAAAATGATTTTCAAGCAAATTACTAGAATTAATAAGGGACTTTACCAAGGTAGCTAGATATAATAGCAGTATACAAACCTCTGTTATATTCCTATAAATCACCAACAACATATATAAAAAATAAGAAACAACTAACATAAATATTTTAAAAGCTATGCAAGACCTCTATGGGTAAAATTTTAAAATTGTATTGACATTTATTAAAGAAAACCTAAATAAATTGGATAATATACCATATTTATGGATGGGAAGACCAAATATTGGAAAGATACTTTGTTTCCCAAATTGATTTGTGGGTTTGTATATCCCGTGTTTCCTAATCCTAATGAAAATCTTTGTAAGATTTTTTTGTAGAATTTGACAAGTTGATTATAAATTTTTTATGTAAATACAAAGAATACCTCAGACTCTCTTAAAGAAAAATATTGAAGTAGGAGGACTTGCTCTACAAGATACCAAGATTTGTTTTAAATTATAGAACAGTGTGGTGTTACCCCAGAGGTAGGCATATAGACCACTGGAGCAGAATACAGAGGACAGAAAAAGACTAAATGTGCACCTGGACACTTTGTATATGATAGAGTCCATGGCAGGTCAGTGAGGAAAGGATGCCTTTTCAATGATGATGTCCAGGTGGATTAAAGATGTATATGTTAAAGGTAAAACTGTAAGCTTTTAGGTGATAATATAGAATATCTTCATATAAGAAATATATCCAATCTCTCCTAAAGATTCAAAAATGGAAGATGCATGAACTTGACTACATTAAAACTAAGAACTTGTTCGTCAAAAGATATAATAAAAATAGTAAAAGGTCAAGGCACAAGGTGAGATAAGAAATAAATGTTATATTACAAATACTGCAATAAATTCAGAACATATAAAGAACCACTCCAAATCAATGAGGAAAGACTCAATCCATTAGAAAAATGTGCATAACCCAGCAAATTACCAAAGGAAAAAATCCACATGGCCAATATATAGGCGTAAAATCACGTTATTAGTAATGAGGAAAATGCAAATGAAAACTACAAGGAGATAACACGAGAGATAACATAAAGAGGTAACACAAAGAAATACCACAAAGAAATAACACCCATCAGATTGGCAAGAATATGTTTGACAATAATATTTGCCAAAGTCTATTGGCAAAGAAGTATAATAATGTGAAGGCTCATTCACTATTGGTGAAGGGATGGTGTAAATTGATATAATTTCTTTGGAAAGCAAATTGGCATTATCCACTACAGCTGGAAATTTACAGTGCATAAAACTCTGTTCTCTACCACCACTACTCATGTTCTAGAGAAACTCATGTATGTGTATAGGTTATATGTACCAGAATGCTTAAGGCAGAATTGTTTATAACTCAAACCTGCAACCAAGTCAACAAAGAATGGATAAATAAATTGGACATTCCTCCAAAGTTAGTCCAGTTATTAATAAAAATAGATTCAGCTATTTGCAACTTGAATGTTTCTGCATCTTCACCTTGGTCTTCAGGAGTGTGTTCTGTCCTTCCAGTTCTGATTTTGACTCCTAACGTAGGTTTTCAACTTGTCCCCTGCCTCAGTGACAACTTGTGATTTCTGTTATAATTGGCCATCTGGATGATGGAATAGCTCATTCATTCAACTATCTATTCAATAAATGCTTATTGACACCACTTTTGTGCAGAGATCCATTCCTCACTGAGCTTATAGTATTGCAAAGGTGTAAGGTACATGCATACAAATTATAATAGTGAACATTATGGTAGAAGCCCTAGATAGTGCACTGAGGCAAGGAAAAGAAAAAAAAAGATTGTGTTCATAGTGTTGGGCTAAAGATATAAGACAACAGAATACATGCAATATGATTTTCATTGATACAAAATTTAAAAACAAGTAAAGGCAAACCATATGTTATGACAACATACCAAAGTGGTAAAACTATAAAGCCAGAACAGGATTATCACAAAATTTAGAACGGTAGTTTCTTCTAGGGTAGGAGGAGAAGGATATGTTTAAGAAAGGGTGTCTAGGCTGGGCGTGGTGGCTCACGCCTCTAATCCTAGCACTATGGGAGGCCGAGGCGGGTGGATCGCTCAAGGTCAGGATATCAAAACCAGCCTGAGCAAGAGCGAGACCCTGTCTCTACTAAAAATAGAAAGAAATTAGCTGGACAACTAAAAAATATATAGAAAAAATTAGCCAGGCATGGTGGTGCATGCCTGTAGTTACTTGGGAGGTTGGGAATTTGAGGTTGCTGTGAGCTAGGCTGACGCCATGGCACTCTAGCCTAGGCAACAGAGTGAGACTCTGTCTCAAAAAAAAAAAAAAAAAAAAAAAAATGAAGAAAAGGTATCTAGGAAGCTTCAACTTCTGGCAACCTTCTAATTCTTGACCTGGATGGTGGGTACACAACAGGTTCACTTTATTATTATTAATATTTGTTAAACTATATATTGTACATGTAAACTTTTTATTTTTTCTGAATGAATGCTGTATTTTATGACAAAATTTTTAAAAATTGCATGGACAATTTGAGTGCTCCCAAGGATTATCAATCTTCTAGAATCACTCCTCCCTTAACATCCTAAAAAAAACAATGAGTCCCCATCCTGTATGACTGGGGGGAGTGCAGGCTTTATCACATGAAATGCTTTCAAGTCTTCTGATCATTTAAACGCCTTCTCCTTCTAACGTGCTACCCCCAACTGCATCTGGCCACCTGACCACTGCCCTCCCTTGCAATGATGCTATTGCAACCAGGTGGCCCCAGAACATAGGACTGGATGCTCTCCACCATCCTTGTTCCAAGTGGGGACTTAGCAGGCACCAAACTGAGTGATCATCAATATATCAGTGAAATATTTTTGAACGTGCACAAATCTATAAATATTTACTTATAATTTTTATACATGTACTTCCATTATTAGCTAATGTTCTAAGTGGATGTAAATCCACGTTTCAAAAATGTTGACTTTTTTGGTCAACATCTTGACAGATATGGTTAGTCATCATTTTTCCCCCCTTAAAATGTATTTGACCAAGAGCCATTTTCTTGGGTTTGGTCTGTTTGCATTAGCAGCATTCACATCAATCTCCATCCAATTTCTTTGCAGGAATCTTTTAAAACCACTTGTTTATTTTCTGTGGGGTATTTTAGTAAAAACCAGATGATATAATCCCTAAACTTACTCAACTGCTCATATGTAAATTACAATATATTTCAACAGATCAGAAGTAATGAATAACACGATAGCAGTTACTTACTGCAAGATAACAAATTACCCTCAAAAACTTAAAACAACAAACATCTATTATCTCATAGTTTTTGTGTGTCAGAAATCCAGGCATGGATTAGCTGGGTACCTCTGAATCAAAGTCCCTCATGAGGTTGAAAGTGTCCTCCGGGGCTGCAATGTCACCTGGAGGCTTGTCGAGATCAGGACAGGGGTAGGGAAAAGGGTTATATGCTTCCAAACTGACTCATGTGGTGGTTGGCAAGCCTCACTCCCTTGCCATGTAGCCTCTTCATGGGTTGCCGTATATTTTAGCACTCCCAGGTGAACAATTCAAGGGAGAATAAGAGTGAGAACCCAAGACAGAAGTCACAGCTTGACTACAGGTAAAAGCCCTCAGCCACGGCAGCTCCACAGGCACGTGCCCCGTGCGGTCACATAGGGCCCTGTGCTTAGAAGAGGCCTCCATGTCTGGTTTACTGCTCTGCTATGTCATTCTGAAATTCTTAATAACTTTTGCACAAGGGCCCCCACATTTTCATTTTGCATCCAACTGTACAAAATGATATAGCCACCGGAGGTCATGATTTTGCTAAATGTCACTGACCTCAGGTTAAGCTGGACTTCACCAGGGGAGGACAACTAACTTAACAGCAATCAGATTTTCTCTCAGGAATTTCATCTACAGTTGGAGACTGGGAATAGAAATCAAGTCCAAAAAATGGCAGAACTCTGGAGACAAGGTCCAGAAAATGCCACTTTTGAGGTCACCATAAGCAGACATTGGTGCTGCCCAAGTCCTGCTCATCAGCTCTTCCTTGGATTCCGTGATATATCCCAGGCTCTTACCAATACATTTCTTTTTTTATTTAATCTAATTATGTTTGAGTCGTAACCTTGTAACCTTATAACCAAAGAATCTTAAATGAAGTCCACCAACTTTTTGGTTAATAGTGCTTTGGCGAGGACTGCTCATATCCATTAATTTCCTAATCAAATATTCTACTCATGAAAAAGCAGGGAATCAGGCATGTCCATACAACAGCAGGGAAAACTCACCTCGCTGCCTGGAAACAAATCAGAGCACTCTCCTATCCTTAATTATAAACAGACAAGCAAAGTTAACCAGATCTCAGAATAAAATGAGTAGCACGAAAACAAAACAGAATGAAACACAAACTAAAAAAAAAAGAGAGAGAGATACTTAAGGTAACACAAGATAAAATTGAAGGTCAAATAAATAAGCAACACAAACATCTAATGAGTATCCATAAGTGAGAGATGAAAACTATCAAATTCATCTAACAAGAACAGGATGCTTTGAGAAAGGAACAAAGCAGGCAAACTGTGCAGATGAGGCAATAAGAAAGAGCTGAGGTATGTTAAACGTATGATTGCCAAGGTGAAATTCTATGTCAAAGGTGGGCGTTTTCTCCATGGGATGGAATTATGGGACATGTTAAACCTGGCAGCTAAGTTTCCCGTCTGCTTTCACATGTCCCCCGTGTGAAAGCAGCAGCAGAGAAGGCCAACCTTTGGAGAAGAGCAAAAAAAGCAAAGTAAACAGTAAACACGAGAAAAACAAATAGAGCAAGAGCGCAGCCGAAATTCCTGATATCCTTCCAGGTCTTATTTTGTGCTCCTGGAGAGGCCCCATTGCCTTTGGGTTCTTTGAGTTACTTCAGTAACTTTTCAATAAATTCCCCTCTTGGTTCAAACTAGGTCAAGTTGGTTTTTGTTAGAAAGAAGACAAAAGAGTCTAAACTAAGACAAAAGGGCTGGGGAACTGGAAGGAGATCAAGTCTCAAGTCCCTTAGGATCAAATGTGACTAAATGGAGGTTCAGAAGAATCAACCCCAGTGAGAAGGTTGTGTCCTTGTTCTTACGGTTAACTTTTCCTAAATATTACACTGACATTCAAATTATAAAGTTGGACAGCAGATGCCCCACATGCAGTGTTTCCTGCATTTACATTTATTTTCTTAACATCTTGAAAGAAAGATGGGGCTTAGCCTGCCAAATCTCTAAGCACCTTATAATAACCTATTCAGACATCATATGGAAGGATTAATTTAGCCATTGCACACATTAATACAGTAGCAAACAAACTAACCTACCTTTGCATGTATCCAAGGCAGCCTGGGAATTTTAAACGCAACTGTGGCTTTACCTGAAAATAGTATATTTTTATCCTTAAAGCCAGACTTGGAGGGGGAAAAAACAACAAAACCACTCTGGAGAGAGAGTGCTGTATATTAGCTTTTCAAATAGGAGACCATTACATCAGCCTCTACTTCTTTTCCTTCTTTCTCAAGATGTTTTCCCAAAATGTCCTTCCTTCACATTGCCTTCTGGAAGGCATTGGACATGAGGTGCAAAAGGGCCAATGATAAGGGAACCGCAGTGTGCTCTGATACGGGAACAACGCGCATGGCCCTGGTAGGATTCTGCTACAGGAGAGAAATACAGCTTTGATGGGAGTAAAAGAGAAAGAAAAGTTATCAAGAAAATGATCTCATAAAATGAACAAGGTATTGGGGGAGGTGGGCTTCCTTATCCTAAAACCAGCTTTGCCTTTTTCGAATGTATGCTAACTTTATTTTCCTTTGTTGATTTTGTTCTTGTTTGTCTGTTTGTATTCCAGGCTTGAGACAAGTTGCCTTCTCAACCCAGCCATAGTCTATGAATTTGTTGTTTAACCCAAACTCAATTGAGGGTTGCAGGAAAGAGGAGAGGAAACATCTCACACCCAAGTGGCCCACACCGTAAACAAAGGGGAGTCTCGCTGTGCCAGCTCTTGGCTTCAGCGAGGCCCAGCAGGAAGCCGATGTCCCCGTGCCAGGGTGAGGGCAGTCACCGAAGCAGATGCTGGGCCACTGAGAACGATTGATTTCAGAAGCTCAAATTCCTCAGGGTGGCCGCCCTCCTCCTCCTCCTCTTGGTGGGAGGGCAGAGGTGGCTGGGAGCTGTGTTGTCCACTGCCGGCTGCCAGCGCTGCTCGAGCTGGGAGAGCTGTCACCAGTCTCAGGCTCCAGGCAGGAGGTTTGTTGGGAATGAGCATTGTCTACTTATGAAGATTTATGGAGAAGCTGACAACCACTACACTTTGAAGCAGAACTCAGGTGAGCTCTCCCCGCTACATGGAGGATTCGGAAGGCAGTTTGGATGATCAAGAGTGATGTCCTCTCCCCTCTGGTTCCCATTGGTTTTCCAACCCTGGGCCTGGCCCAGGAGAAAAAGCGAGGGAGAAGCATGGCTTTCTGGCTCTACTCATTCTTCTTCAGAGAGAAAGAGAGAGACTGGCACTTTTTGTGGCATTTCACATGGAGGGGGAAAGGCCAAGATAAATGGATAGTTTCAAGGTCATTAGCTTCCTGAGCTCGCGGTGTGCCTGTCTGCCAGAGGGCTGCTTGGAGAGGTTATGAATGTTTTGCGGCTGGACCAGGGGAGCCCATTGTTGGATCTGGGGCTCTGGGACCCGCTGCCAGTGGCAGATCTGGACGCTGGGGTTGTGGAGTGTGCCTTCTCTCCCTGTGCACACTTGCCATGCAACAGCCTGGCCACCAATGTGGAGTTGGGGCTCTTGGAAAGCTTTGGAGCCCTCGGCGTAGACAACTGGCCTGTGAGGACAGGACCAGGGCGGGAAGGAAAGGCAGCTCAGGGAAGAACTCAGAAAGGCTCCATTGGCATCCTGCCTTTCCAACCCAGGAGGAAAAAAAAGGCCAGAAATCAGAAATGCAAACCTTTAAAAAGAAGAGCCTGTAAAGTTGGTGTCCTGACAGCGGGTGGGTGGAGGCCAGGCAGACGGGACAGGTGGGAGGAGACGGGGTGACAACAGGGATCCCCATTCTTACGCCACTGTGATTGGGGCGTTAGTTTTGTTTCTCATAATCGCTTTCGGGACCCTCTGAGTTCTCTTTGACTAACCATATCCTCACTTCACTTGTTAAATCCCAAATGTTTATTGTGCTTTTTTTTTTTTTTTTTTTTTGAGGCAGAGTCTCACTTTGTTGCCCAGGCTAGAGTGAGTACCGTGGCGTCAGCCTGGCTCACAGCAACCTCAATCTCCTGGGCTCAGCTATCCTACTGCCTCAGCCTCCGGAGTAGCTGGGACTACAGGCATGTGCCACCATGCCCGGCTAATTTTTTGTATATATATATTTTTAGTTGGTCAATTAATTTCTTTCTATTTTTGGTAGAGACGGGGTCTCACTCAGGCTGGTTTCAAACTCCTGACCTTGAGCAATCTGCCCGCCTCGGCCTCCCAAAGTGCTAGGATTACAGGCGTGAGCCACCGCGCCCGGCCTTTATTGTGCTTTTAGATATTGGACGGGGGGAAAAAAAGTAAGGTTAAAGTTTCAACTATTTACATCTTTTCAGATTTATCTCTGAATCTTGAAATTGCACACGTACACATTGTTATGTCAGCGTGTGCATACTATATTGTGTTCTGCTTTGTTCACATAACATGCCTTTATGTATGTATATATCCCTGTATTACCATAGACCCCATTCTTATCTCTTAAGTGGCAATAAATAGGTCACTGTAGTGATATCTTAGGGTCTTGGTCATCCCACCATTTCTGGACATTAAGGTTGAATGTCTGCGTCTACACATCTACATCTATAATTTCAGCCTAGGATGTCTACATCCCAGACCAGAGCAGTACATTTGTTACAACTGATGAACCTACATTGACGCATCATTATCACCCGAAGTCCATAGTTTACATTAGGATCCACTCTTGGTGTTGTGCGTTCTGTGGGTTTGGACAAATGTCTAATGACATGTATCCAGTGTTATAGTATCATACAGTGCAGTGTCACTGTCCTAAATCCTCTGTGCATTTGGACTGAATATGCATATATCTATATCTTTATTTCATCCCAAGATGACATTTAAAGCATATATGTATATGATATGTATTATTAAAACATTTCTATATTTGGTTAGAGTCTGTCCTTTTTTGCTTTTCTTTTGTATTTAATATTACTGCTCTGGGTTATATTCTTAGAGGTTCAATTCCCAGGTCACAAAATGTACATCTTTCACAGTCCCTATTACATACCACCACCTGGTTCTACAAGAAACAGAAACCAAACCTTGATGACGCAGTGTCGGTAGCAGCGTCCCAATGAAGGAGTTTCCTCTCATCACAGTCAAGATTGATTTTTATTATTTTTTATCCACTTTGGCAAAGTGTACCTTCTTCCATTCCTTTCTTGCTTTAGTTGCTTTTCCTCCCAACACTCATTTTTTCCCAACGGAGTTCAGTATAACCTGTTTCGCTCCTCGACTTGCCTTGTGGTGAAGCATCTAGCACCCTGTGCGCTTGGCAAATGACCGGCCCCCACACACCTGCCGCCCCACAGAGTGGCCTGGAGAGGCACTGGCTGCCAGCGGTTAAGCACGCACCTTGTCTTGAGGGCTCGGCCTCCAGTGGCAGCACTTCCAGGTAGGAGGGCTGCTCACTGCTGCAGTGTGCTGAGCAGGGATGTTCTCCAAACTTCAGGGCTGGTGGACATAGAGGGTGAGGCATGAACTACAGCCTATGCTGGCCACCTGGTTCAGCTTTCTGGGTGTGGGAAGGCCGGGGTAGGGGCGAGAATGGTGTGATCTCCAGAGAGATCTGGCTCCCCTGGAGTCTGCCGCTCAGAAAAGATTCCCCAGCCTAGATGGCCCGCGCCCACGACTGCCCTCCCCCCCTCCCTAAGGCGTGGCACAGGCTTCCACTGAGACGCCTGGGTCAGTTCTGCACACACCCTGCAGGACTGAAAAAGCGCACCGGTGTGGTTTGTTCTTAGACGGGAGGAGTGGAGTTTGAGTTTAGAGGCTTGGAGAGAGCACTCGAACCAGAGATTTCTTGCAATGTGGCGACTCCTCTGGCTTCTAGATTTCCTGGGGATATCCTTTACTCACAGAGTTGATCAGTTTGAGATTTAACCAAGGAGCAGGCATGGATAAAGTAAAAAGCAAGAACAAAAACAAAAGCCAGAAATGGCATTTCCTAGGTCCTTGGGACATGTTGGGACTTGTATACTGTTTGGATCTGTCTCTGTGGGTTGATGACGTCCATAACTGTGCAATCTATCTGAGCAATTGAATTTGCGAGTGCTTTATGAAAAAGCAGCCGAGACTTCTAAAGCAGATGATGTGAGTAGTATTTAAAGGACCTGCAGAGTTCCATTTGGAGCAGAACCTGTCACTTCCTCAGCAAGCATCTTATCGGATCGGCCCACACTCCGTCCCTGAGCAGGGTGGGTGGCAGAGGAGGCTGCAGTGAGCAGGTGTTGAACAATGAATGAGCAATGATGGGCTTCTTGTCCTCATTTTAGTGCTGAGGGGACCTTGATAAAAAAAAAAGTTCAGTGGCTTTCACCAGGAGCCAGGTGTACTTACCCAGAAAGCTGTCCTCTGGCCTGGCTTTTCCTGCTTTCCTGTCTTATGAGCTGGTGATAACTTTTGGCTCATGCTTTCAGAGGAACAAATTTGAGAAATTAAGTTATAGCAACATAAGGAAGAACTTATTCACCCTTTGGGTAGCAAAGCATCAGCCTGCAGCAGGGGCAAATTCTGGAATCCCTCTCCCAGGAGAGATTTTTTTTAAGAAAGAACAGACCAATCATGTGTTCTAGACAGTATTACCCAATCTCTTAGCGTTTGTGTAGCTTTATGCCGTACAGAGAGCATTTTCATTCACGTGACCTCATTTGATTCTCGTAACAGCTGCATCGCTACTGGTGGTGGTTTCGAATTTACTGATGGAAACCGAGGCAGGTGGCTGTGTTCTCCCCACGTCGCATTTTTCTTTGAAACTCCTCGCTGTGGGCTGGGAGCAGCCATCCCCCAAATGTCAGAGAGGGACAGGGCCTGCGGAGTTGCTGGATGAAGCGACTTGGCCCTTGCAGCGGAAGGTAAATTGGCGCTGCTCCTCGAGGTGGCATGCATGGCTGCTCCCGGCTGCAGCATGGCCTGACACTGAGCCCGGGGAGGCCTGGCGCTCAGAGACTGGGGACTGGCGCCGGGAGCCCTGGAGGGGGACAATTGGATGGCTCACAGTGGGGCCACTGTGGGCTGCTGCTAGTTCCCGCTTTTGCTGGATGCTGTTTGTCCTTTTCATAATTCTCTCTGTTCTTGGTTCCCTCATCTGCCCTTCTGTTTCCATCCTCGTCCAATACAAAGGATGAGGTTACATATTCAAGGGATCCAGTTGATTAACTCATTTATTTATTAATTCATCCATTAATCAGTCAATTATTTATTCCGTCATCTCCTGGCCCCTGACTGTACGCTAAGCCCTGGGCCAGAACCTGTATACACAGCACAGATAGGCATAAAACACGGCACCTCCCCTGGAGGAGCTTCCAGACTTAATCTGGAAGGTCAAAAGCAGAAATTGGTTTCAGCAAGAAAATAATGAAGCCAGGAACGGTGAACCGGTGTAACTGTTAGAGCCAGAAGAGAGGGCTGATACTAGTTACTTATAGTCCCCAGGAAAACAGTCCCTGGTTGCTGTCCCATAATGTGACCATGTGTCTTTGGAGGAACAACGGGTTGAAATTGGAGCTGACTGGGGTCTAGGTCCCGGGCTATCCTACTGACTTCAGCTGAGGCCCATCCAGCTGTTCTGATCCACCTAGGACCTCGGCGAGAAGGAAGGTGTGCAAGGCCAGCCCGTCCGGGTCTCCCCAGTAAGGAGGCATGCAGGCAGGGGATGGTAACAACTGCCTAGGAGGAAGCATGTCTTTAAAAAGAAATCTCTTTAGTGAGCATACTTCCCTGAAGGATTTTATATCCTTTGTCTGCATCTGTTGAACAAACCTGCAAGGTGGGCGCTGTTACCTCCACTCTGCGCAGCTGCCTGAGGCCCGGGGAAGTTAACTCACCTGTGCCTGGTGCACAGACAGAAGCGTAGCAGGTATCTGAACTCACGTGGCGGAGATGCTCCCCAAGATAGATGGGAGCTGCTGGGCAGCTGTTCCACTGATGACCGTATAATGGGACCACCAAGACCTGGGCAGAAAGACTCAACAAAGAATTTCCACTGAGAGACCAGCCGGCGGAGCTGAGATTCTTGACGAAACTTGTGCTGAGTTTTGTGTTGTCGTCGTTGGGCTTCTG